GCCCTTCTCCGACACCTTCGACCAGCGACCTCCGCAGGGGCCTAGGCCACCCCTGCCTGCCTCGGCCTGGGCCGTTCTAAGGCTCCGCGTTCCGGCCTTGCGCCCCTCCCTCCCTCTAGGCACCGCGCCACCCCAGCTGAGAGCTGGGTTCGGCTCTCTCGGGTCCCAGCCTGGCGGGTCCATCCCACCCCCGTGGGCCTTCAGCCCAGGTCCTGGAGACCAGAGGCTCGAAAATCCCGCCCCGCCTCCGGGCTTCTGACCACGGGTCGCGCGGAACCTCTTCTGGACTCATCTGTCAATGACCTAACGGCATAGACCACCCGCGCAATCCCCCGGGGCTCGGCGATGAAACGAAAGTCAGTGCACGTGGGCTGGCGGGCTCCCTGCAGACCCGAGCACTGCTGCACTTTTTCCTGGAGCTGGGTTTCGGGCACTTGCCAGACTGGGGTGTCTTCCTTCTCTGGGCTACACGTAATTTTGGTTATTTTAAAGTAAACAGCGAGATGGAAATGTCTGGTCACCAACAGACAGGGACCAGTTAACTGGTATTTTTCAAATGGCCCTTGTGAATGAGTACACAAACCAGCTTTCAGCTGCAATCAGCATCCCCTCTCCCTGCTGCCCTCTGCTGGGGAGTTTCTTGCCTGGGGTCCGAGCTGATCTGCAGCCTCAGTATTTAGAGGCACTCCAGCATTTCCCCTGCAGCTGAGCAGGCAAGGCGGGTCTGGGGCCTAGCGCCCACCTCCCTGGCAGTGTGTATCAGGCCAGGGGGAACCCCAGGAGAGCAAGGCCTTTCTATCTAACCAAGCTCGGCTGATGTTGCGGCGGCATGAGCTCTCACTGCTGCAGCAAGCACTGCGTCCTGTGTGCGGCCACTGGCGAAACTTCTGGAAAAAGTGCACGGATCTACCCTCCACCTACTAGTTAGCCAGACTTCTGCTTTTGGTAAGGGAGAAACAAAACACCTAACCGTCCAGCCGCAGGCTCCATGGGCTTTCTGACCCTGAGCAGGTCTCTTGAGTCACGCTGTTACCTACCTAATGTGGCTTCTCCTCCCAAGCATGGGGTGGGGGCGGGAGTCTGTGCAGAGGGTCAGTGCTGGGGCAGGCACTCTCTCTCCAGGGGCCGGTGGGACCCCCTGGGGCACACAGCCAGTGCTCAATAAATGCTCCCTCCTGAGCCCAGCTGCTCTGCTCCACTTTTTCGGGGAGCTGGGTTTCAGGCACCTGCTGGATTGGGATGTCCGTCTCCCTTCCCGGGGCCACACCTGTTTTTGGCCCACTGCTTGCTTTTGCTTCGGATCCCAGGGTCCCCGACACCCTCAGAAGATGGAGGTCAGGGTGCACCTGGTGGGGTGGGAGGCAGCCCCTTTCCCACCCATGAGTACAGCTCCATCGGGGTCCTCTGGCCCTGGAACACCGAACCAGGCCAGCTATGGCAGAAATCTTTTTTTTTTTTTTTTTTTTTTAAATAGAGGCAGGGTTTCATTATGTTGCCCAGGCTGGTCTTGAACTCCTGGGCTCAAGCGATCCTCCCTCCTCAGCCTCCCAGTGTTGGGATTACAGGCATGAGCCACCAAGCCTGGCAAGAAATCATCTTTATTCACATCCCCCGCGCCACCACCTGAGAGTCCCTTTCACTCCAAGCCCTGGGCCTGATGGGAGGGGGCCACAGAGGGGCTGCCTAAGGCAGGGCCCAGACCCCACAGCGGGGGTCTCTGGAGCTGTGTCTTTACTCCTGCTGCCGATCAATCCCATGCTCTGAAGTGGGCACACTCTGGCTCCTTAGTAGATGCCATAGGTGGGCTCATGACTGTCCCTGTACCGGTCCAGGTAGCGCAGGGGCTGCCGGTGGGGGAACCGCTTCTGCTTGGGGTGGTAAGGGGGCGGCCGCACGAACTCAAACACCGGCTCCCGCATGTCTGCAAGAAGAGCGAGGGGCACAGGGCTGGTCTCCTGTGGCCTGCGCCCCCTCAGGCTGAGGCCTGCCCACCAGGAGCCCGCCACAGCCTTCCCCTAACAAAGTTTCTCCCTGGCAGGGCAGGTGAGGCCTGGGAGCTCAGGCCCACCCAGTGCCCCAGCCCCATGGCCCTTACCCAGAAGCTGGTGGAAGATGTGGGTGACGGAGTCATCCCAGCGGCACTGGAAGAAGGACAAGCCGGCTGGAGTCATGGCTTCTTGGTGTTTCTTGTAGAAATCAAAAGTGCGGAAGGTCCGCTGGGCCAGCTGATAGCTGTAAGATGGAGAGCATGTGAGAGCGGGGAGTGGGCAGCAGAGCCCTCGCCCCTCCACCCCACAGGCAACCCTGAGAGGCCCCGGGACGCTGCTAGCACCCTGTTCTGCTCTTCTGCCAGCCTCAAGGCTGAGGTCGGAGAGAACTGAGCAAGAGTGACCATTGCAGGGGAGCTGGCCTGAGGCCGGGTTATGTGTTGGGGGTGTAGATTACCAGGGTGAGGGGCGTGCGTCCTCGGAGAAGTCAATCGGCTGGTCCTGCTTGAAGAGCAGGAAGGCAAGACGGTGGATGCCGGAGCCTCGGGCAGGGAAGGGGGGGAGGTAGGGACACGTCACCTGTCCTTCAGCCACCCGGTTACCCGGGATGTTGGTTCTGGGAGGAGGAAAGTCTCCATTAATAACCACTCCAGGGAGGCAGCAGGAGTGTCCCCTCAGCTCCACACACACCATAGAGGCTGACGTGACTCCCTGAGAGGACAACTCTAAGCATTCTGTTTCCTAGGACAGAGGAGGCAGCCAAGCTCTGTGAATGCCTGGACATACTGCAAACATGGGAGGCGGGCTGGAGGAGCTCCGAGTGGGGGACAGGGCTCCACAGAGCGTCACCTTGACAGCAAGGCCATGCAGCCTGCTTCCAGGCCCGGGAGCCAGGGGGCCAGCCACAGTCACTGAGGCTAGAAAGCCATGCCACTTTTGGCTGCTTTTCCCTCTGCGTCCTGAAGTCTCCAGGACCTCGTCGGGGATTGTGTGCCCAGCCTGGCACAGGGATGGCCAATGTCTCAGGCACAACTCCCCAGAGGGTCCTGCTGCACAGGTTGGTAACTGCAGTTGAATAAAAATGACAGAAACCAGCCTCCCAGTCACTGTCCCCAATTAACCAGAAGGCTCAAAGTTGGGGTCACTGGCCTGACTTCTGCCCCCTGGCCTGGTGTTCAGAGCCAAAAGCTACCGAGAAGATAGAAGGCAGCCTCATCTGGGCCCAGGGAAGGAGTGCCCAGTGGTTCAAGGAGCACTTGGGAGATGCCACAGCTGCCAGGCCTGTCCTGCTCCTTCTCTCATGGGACCATCACAGTCCACAGGTCAGGTTGAGTAAGGCACGTGGTGCCATTATCCCAGTTTTACAGGTGAAGA